ACCCAACGTTTGCTTCATCTCTGTTGTGTAACTGTTCTCATGAGTGCTTACAAGACTCCGCATAGATTGACTGACCGATAAACAGTCGGGCAGGATATGAATTGCGGCAATGACTCAGGTGTTATTTTTATAATCCACTTCAGTTTTTTGTTTTTTTTTCTCCAAGGCCTGGTGTTTTGTTTTGTTTAAGTTTTTTTTATTTATTTTTTTTGCCCAACAAAGCAGCTGTCTCTGACCCTAAATTGCTTGTTAAGGTTATGGCACCATCATTAGGAAGGGTGGATGATTGCATACTTTCAAAGCCATTTAAACACTCCTCAAACCTTGGCTCTTCTAAAGAGCCGGCTTGAACTCTCGAAATTGCAGTCTGCAGGTTTTCACAAAGCGGGAGACGACCTGTAAGTAAAGCGTCCTCTTGTATATTTCTTGTGAAGCTGCGTCAGAGATTCCAGTCAGGTGTGGGCGAGCTTCTGGTTTCTCCTCGGAAATGGGCCGTGCTCCAAAGCAGTTTTGGTTCATCGATAAACATGCTGATTTTTGTGAAAAACAAAATTTTCCACAGGGGTGAATCAATACGGGATAGTGTTGCCGCCACTAATAAAGGAAAGCGTTTCTGTAATAAAAGGGAAAAAGAAAACAGATCTACAACAGGTCCAGTTGCCTGATCTAAACCAAAAAGAAACCCAAAAACCCACTTGCCGAGGATGACGAACTGATAGATGCTAAACTAAATGCTGGGATGCGAGAAAAAGATAGTTTTTTCGTAGAAAGATCCGTATTCCCGTCAAGATCGCTTTGGTAACAAACGTTAGGGACATAAACAAGAAACATTGTAACCTATCTGGAAATTTCATTGCTCATCAAATGAGTATCACACCTAAAGTTAAGGATATCAGCTACTTCTTAAAACAAAATCTTGTGTGTAAATTGCTTAATTGCCAATCTTGTCCATTTACATAAAGACATAAAAGGGAGAGCTGTTTAGACTGCTCGTGCCCAGCCTCTTTTTATCGCATTCATTTCGGCACAACCCAGTGAAAATAGCCATGACTTTGAATATTTGGCCCCCAAGGAATTGTGGGAGACAATGATTACCATTCCTCTCTCAAAGGGACAGTGTTTTTCCCCTGATAAATGTAATGGCGGAAGCCTGGAGGTCCTATCCTGTCTGCCTGGTTGATACCCTGGGGGTCATTCAATCAAAGGAGATCTGTGCAAAAAAAACAGTAAAATTAACCAAGCGCGCCGTAATGATGTTGACTCGCAACTTGGAATAAGTGGATGTGTAAAGGAGTGGAAAAGTTGTGCTGCTCAGCTCCTATTTCTCTCCCTCATTTCGCCCGGAAGAAAAGTCTGAAATCTGAAGTCTACGGTCCGGTTTAGGGAGAGGTCACTGTTTACAGTCTGCTTTTTATTCACTTTTCGGTAAAAAAAAAAAAACTACCATCTTTCTTTAGAAAAGCTTATCGTGTTGCATTGTTCAGACAGTGTTTTAAAACTTCCCTGCCTCCATGTGCATCCACAACTGTTCCCTTATATAGAGCGCTTGCCTAGGTAGAATTTTTAGTGGAGAAATCTAAAGTGATTTTAAACTGGAACGGTCTTTTTTTTTTTTTTAATTTATTAATTTATTTATTTTTTTGTAAACACCTTTTTCAATATTTTCCTTTTTATCGCATTAAATAAAATGGGCCAAATCTTGCTCACTTCATATACTTGCTCACTTCTTCCTCAAAACTGATTCAACATGACAGTTCTTTCATTCGGCTCTATTTTTCTTCTTATTTTTTTTTATTCCTGTATTTTTCTCCCTGCCATGAGACATGTAAAGCTACACCACAAGTGCTTTTGAGCTAAATGTGACCTGACCATATGGTGGTGGAGCCCTCAGAGGTCACGTGCACATTTTTTTTTTTTAAAAAAGGGTCTCCTCGGGAAACTGTGTCATCCAGCAATAGAGCGCGGCAGACACGGCTTCGTCAAAGTTTTCATTTTGGCACTCTGGGGGGGAAGGACGAGGTAATGAATACAGTAAATATGTGCGCGTTGACAAATGGAAAATGTTTAGGGTTCTTCGTGGTGCACGAAGAATTGATGCACGACTCACCAGACCCGACACTAGAGGGATAGAAATCTTCATTTCCACAAGTAAATACGGTCTTATCCAATTTTACACAGGGCCCCGTTTGCCTCTCAAATCTGCTCATTTGCAGGAAGCTTCGGTTAATGTAATAATGTAGACCGTGCACCCCCCCCCCCCGCTCCGCCCCTCCCTGCTCAGTCATCTTAGCAGCAGGAGTCAGCAGGATTTTGCCTTTGAGGTTTCTAATTGACTACAAAAGAAAGGAGGACGAAACACCGATATTTGCACCTTCCGAGTATTTTGGAAAGAGTTTCTTGGGTTTTCTGATGTTAAACCTTTTAGCTCACCGCTTCTACGCCTCCTTCTGTGGCTTTTATGACAATCATTGGTCGTCCGATGGACGAATGAGCCGTCAATCCATCTCATCAGTGTCTTGTTTCAGGGGTCGGATGTTGGAGTTTGATGTCATTTAGCATTAAGGAAGGTGTTGGGTGGGTTACAGAAAGGTAGGACTCCACTAAATATCTAACTTGATTATATCTAGCATACATCAGAGGCCTCGAATGTAGACAGATTGGTCATTTTGTCACTTCTTACCATTAGTTTAGTTTTTTAGGGCCAAGGAGTTAGACCCATCTCTCTGCTTTTGTTGAACCAAAAAAAATTTATTTAAAAAGTCCATTCAACATGAAAGATATATCCACATCTCTGGCTGTTTGATCAAATGACTGGAAAATACGCAGTTGGAAAACAGAGTGTGAGTAGGTCCTCCTGCACCACCTTCCAGATACATTCCATTTTATCGCTAGTCTGTGATAAGCGTTAGCCCGAAAAACCGAAGACGAAACCGTAATGGGTTTCAGAGGAACCCTGTCTTTTTCTGCGCTTCTCCAAATGTGTTTTGCACAGCACACCCCCTCCTGTTTCAGCCCACCTACGTTCCATAACGTTGAACCTCAGTCTTTTTTTTTTTTTTGGTGGGGGGCAAGCCGCTCGTAAATCCTCCGCTTGCGGCCGAGAAACAAATTCTCCACCGCATCTGCTGAGTCGGTGTTTTCGCCCGGAATAAAAAACGGTCCGGAGCGCCGAGGCTTTGCAAGTGTCCGGCCACACGGAAAAGACCGGCAGTTAAAGCCCAGCTGGGACGCGTTCCTCAATTCGGGAGTTCACCTCTGTCTCGGCACGGCGATGCCCTTATCCATCATCGGGTAGTCGAGCAGCGTTTCTCCATGACGACACCCCCCCCTCCGCCTAGGCCGTAACACAGGATAACACTGGGATAATTGCCGTTTTTGTGACACTGTGTAAACCTTTTTGAAGGCGGGAGATGTTCTTAAGAGAATCTTTAAAGGAAAAGCTCCGGGGAAACGTGAACAAGACCTGAAGGGGGGTTGTAGCAACTACGAACCCTTTGGGAAGGTTATCGGAAATTAACCTGTGGATGCGGTTTGGCAGTCGGCTGATTATTTCCGGCAGGTTTTTTGTTTTTTTATCTCGTAACAACCCCGAAGCACGTTGTGACAGCAAGGTCCAAGTTATTTGAATAAAGCACAGCCTACCCCCTTCCCCTCTTTCCCACCCTTACCATTTATGAATGTAAAACACCCCTCTCCCCCTCGATGAATTGCGCTTTCTGACGGGAACATGATTACAAGAAGTCGTGGCTGTGGGCCGTTTCGGCAGGCAGACCGAGCTCCATGTCATCCCTAAGAGGGGTGTGAATAAATGTCCCTGTCTCTACCAAGGCCCCCTTCCTTAATCAGTGTCGGATGGTAATGATTAGCTTCCTGCATGAGGGTACCCAGCTCCAGAATCCTCCCCATAACTCATAACATTGTTAATGATCTGCCCCGGGAAAGACAATGCCCTTCTTTACTTTTGGGCTTATCCCTCGTCCTAATCTCGGCCGCGTTCGAAGTTCCCCGGAATTAGATTCAATTTATTATGACAAGTGCTTTCCTGGAATCAGGCCACACTTCACATTCAAGGATGCCAGGTGATTGTATCTAAATCCCTCCGCTCGGTTTAGCAGTCCATTCAGTTGTTTTATGGAGGAGGAGAAGAGAAAAAAGGCTACATGGATGGAGGGGGGGGGGGGGGGGGGGGGCTCTTCTGCCTCAGGTCACGGCTCGGGACGGAGGTGGATTACCGCGACATCATTTCATTCGGCGTCTGTTACCAAAACCGGGATTAATAACACGGCGAGGGATTAGAATTTATTATCATCCTTCTCCCCCCGCTTTGGCATCTGTTAAGGGCACCGGTCCTTGAAAAGAAACATATTTTCACCATTAAGCCAACACCGCAGAAGGGGGAGGGAGCCGCCTTTGTCTTTGCCGGGCGCCATCCAGAACCTTTGCCCTTTGCTTTAATAGAACCACCCTGAGCAGAAAAGAGAGGCGTTTTCTACCAGTCGGGCCGGTGACTTAAACCTCGGGAGGCCCCGGTTAAAGCCTTTAAAGAGGATTTAGACGCCCGTATGTTCTCAAATCACAGCAAAACCTTTCACATATTGAAATTGTTTGCTGTTTTAATGACATTTAGGTCTAATCGGCTCTAAAGCTACGAGAAATGAGTGATTACTGGTAGCATCGTGAGGTTATGTATGAGGATGCGGGATGGGACGATACCCTCTGAGGGACGATACCCTCTGAGGCGCGTTGCTGTGTAGGGTCGCATTTAAAATCCATTCATTTATTTTTAAGTGGAGTGCTGTCCATGGAAACTATCAGCGTCTTCGGACAAGGCATCGAATTACCGCGCGCATTTGTCAATAGCGTTTACCCTCATGCTCAGATGCACTTCAGGGAACACCGTTCGCAGCGCGGGACTTTGAGACAAAAGAACGATAAGAGTTCACCTTGAAGTATTGATTTTCTGCCATCTTGAACATGTACTATAAATCCACTATAAATCCATGGGTGTGTGCTCATTTTTCTTTTGTTTTTTTTTCTACTGTTTCTGTCTCTTGTGCAGAGATACTGAACGGGGGCGTGTACGTGGACCAGAACAAATTCCTGTGCAACGCCGACACCATCCATTGGCGGGATATCATCAAGAACCCCCAGGCGGAGCTGCTGGTGGTAAAGTCCAACAACAGCAAAATCGGATGTAAGTGTGACATCAATGGAAAATTAGGTGGAACTGTTAACTCCAAAACTCCATTACCAAGCGGCCGGCCCCCTCTCCCCTATTTTTTCTTTTATTATGAATTCACTCCGTTTGCCTGACTGTGATTTGGAAGACATATCACACCATTGTGGTGCTTTGGTGGCGTCTCTGCCGCGAGGCCCCCACGGAACCGCTGTCCGCTGTGCACTTTTTTTTTTTCTTTTTTTAGATCTCAGTGAATCTGACAGCTGTTTTGAAGTCGCCCCCTTCCCCTCCCCCGTCCTACTCCATCCTCTCCGCATTCCCCTCCGTCCCCTGAGCTCCTTCTTCTGCTTTGGGACTGAGCAGCCGTCGCTCTTCCACTGGACATTTCGCTGTGAGAGCGGCCTTAAAAATCCCACCCCCACCCCCCACCCCACTGACCCCTGACCCCTGACCGAGGCAAGAGCGCAGACGCAAGAAAAATCCCCAATTTTGGGCAGACAGAAAACCGGGAGACGTGGGTATTTTGTCGATCGAACGGCGTGGGCATAGGGAAGACAGGGGGATAAAAAGCTGCTAGGAACAAGAGGAGGTGGACCAGAAAAAAAGAAAAAGAAGAAAAGATGATGAGAGAGCGTGGGAGTTTAGGTTGCCAAATTGAGGCCCCTCGCCGAGACGTAGCGGGTATTTAACATGAACGACCCCACAGTGGGAGTGGTGGAAGAGGCTGGGTGACAGTCGGTGGCACTCTTCCAGTTGCTGTGTAATTAACCCGTAGTCAATTAAGCCTCCATGATGGGCCGCTGGCAGCGGGGAGTGAGAGCCTGTCGGTCACACTCCTGGCGGTGCCTCAAGTTTATTTATTTATTTTTTTCACAAGTCCAGGTCTGTGGAGTGGGTTTGACCGTTCTTTGGTGTTTTTGTCTTGTCCTCCGCAGGCAGACGATGTCACCCCTCCTGTCACGGACGCTGCTGGGGCCACCAGGAAGACCAGTGTCAGACGTGTGAGTGCGAACTAGCAGGGTGAAAAAAAAAAAAGATAATTTTCTCGGGTTTTCCCCTTTAAAGGCGCCAACTTCACGTGGCTGGAATAAAACAACAAAAAATAAAACAAAAAAAACTTTTTGGAATATTTTAACATTGCAGACAACAACTAAGTAGGCTAATCGCGAAGTAGCTAGCCAGGCTAACACACCACCACGTATCTTAACAGTATATGTTAAGATAAAACAACAAAAAAAGCAAAGAGTTGGCATATTTCTGGTCAGCTAGGCTAAAATTACTATGAGAATCAACAGCAGCTGCTGAAAATAAAGATTTAGGTGTTTTCATACTTCATACTTTCCGTCGCTTGCTTTGATTGCTAAGCAGCTAACACGGGGGCTCCACTTAGCTTGCAAAGGTCGTTTAATCCAGCGATAACGTGCGTATTAAGTGGAAATCAAACTAAGGACGGAAGGCAGTTTCAGTTAACGGCAGGCAAGAGTTATGGGCTAATGGTTTTACCTTTTACACCGCCGGATAGGAAGATCCATGTTTTATGTCCCCTCAGAACAGAGGTTGCTAACCTACCGACGCCTCAATTAAAATATTGCCGGAAGTTTCTTTGAGATTCAAACTATGGTCTTCATAAAGGGGAAGGTAAATTAGTAACAGCTGTGCTCTAAATGGCAGAAAGCCAGTCAGAGGTCTGGTTTTAGCCACAAAACACAGTATTTTTAGCTTTATTCACATAACCTAACTATTTATATTTCCCTTTACAGGACAATGAATCAGGCATATTCAAAGACCAAGTGCTTTTCGGATAGATGGATGCCTCTATATCCTGACGTCACAGTAATTGAGCGTTTTATTTTTCATCACGTTTCATTAAACCCCCTACAGCTCTACATCACAGTCATCCACGGGTACTTCAGTGGCAGCAATATTTCAGTGAAGCTCACAATGGATGCTGCTATTTGGAAGCCAAGGGGCCTATTTGTTTGTACCTCCCACACTAGGAGAGACTTGTTGAAACCGTCCGACTGGTAAAACACCCTCAGAAATCGCAGTTGTAGATACAGGGCTGTGGACTTTGCAAAGTTGGGACGAGTAAACAATTTTAAATCGTCAAGAGACAGATAACTCATTTGAAAAATGCTACAGATTTCGGATGGGATTGTTTTATTATTTAGAATCACGCCTGCCGCTCTTTTAAAGCCAGTTGAAGTCTCTATTGTTTGTTTTAGTTCGAAAATAAGGCGAGTAAATGTTTTGTGTCGTTCTGGAAATGGAGAACTTTCTTTGACTGAGATTAAACAAATGGTCAAACAAACTTTATGATATGAATGCTTGAACATTTTCCTCCTGCCGGTCGGATATAAATCTCAATTTCTCGCATAATGAAAAAATGGAATCTTGTCATTTTGCAACTGGACAAGTTACTTATAGTATTATGGAAATGCAGCTTTGATACATTTCTGTTTAATGATGTGGTTTAAGGTAATATGACCTCACTTTGGAGGGGGGGGATTGGTGGAAAAATGAAGGCTATAGCTTTAGAGTCTATAATCTTGCATAATCTGTTTGATATTATTTTTTCTGGGCTGTGCCAGCACCTTTGGGCACATCTGTTTTAAGCATTTTGTACAAAATCTATTGAACTCGAGGCCAAAATCAAGGGGCCAGCTCCCCAAATTCCAATTATAGATTTGGGAATGACGTCTCCGTTGCCTGGCACTATCACAAAACTATATTGATACAGTACAAGACGATCAATGTTTTTAAAAAAAAGAGTTACAACAACACGGGCGTTGCAAGCAGACAGAAAAGAAAATCGAATCAAAGGCATCACGAAGACGGCAAGAAAATGCAAGATATCTTGGTTTTCTTTATAATTTGCAGAATGTTCTACTGTTTCTTTAGGCAGATGCTGGCTTGTTTATCTCAGACTAACTTGGACTAATAGACAACAGAGCTTTGTTGTTGTTGTTTTTTTTCCCCCACTACTGCATCATTATGTCTGCAACTCAGCAGAGAGTGAGCACAGCAGTTTTTAATGCCTTTGTTCGGAGCTCCTGCTGACTTGCTGTCCTCGTCTTCCTCTGCAGATCTGCAGCGGGGACCGAAAAAAGTTGCACTTAACAACTGATAAAAGTATCGCTTTTTCGTCATGACGTCCTTTATTCCAAAGAAAGGGAAAGGGCTCCTTGTTTTCCAATAGTTGGCATGGCAACAGATGAAGCCGTCTCTGGGAATCAACACAGTTTGGAAGGCCCACGTGGCTGGAAAAACCCATTGTGTAAACACAGATACAATCAACCAACGAAATCCATTAGAAATTAACATTTTTTATGTTATGTTTTTATGTCCACGCGTGCGTGTATCTTTTACACTCTATTTTCTAGGAGCAACGCCCCACCAGCCACTATGGAAGGTGGAGGATGAGTTAGTGCTCTATTGTTTTTTTTTTGTTGTTTTTTTATTCTATTTGAGCATTCAGGCTTTAAAAAAAAAAGAAAAAGTACAACCTAATTTGTTTCCACTATCAGCCACAGCTTGAGATGAAAGGTTGAGGGTGGTGGTATTGTCTCCTTTTTTGTGCGCAAATGTGTGTGTTAGACCTTTTCAAATTCAGTCTCCCCCCCCCTTCTATTTTTTTTTTTTTTGTGTGCAGTGACAAAAACGGTGTGCGCCGAGCAGTGTGACGGTCGATGCTTCGGGCCCTACGTCAGCGACTGCTGCCACCGGGAATGTGCCGGCGGCTGCTCCGGACCCAAGGACACCGACTGCTTTGTACGCCTCACAAACACCCACCTTTTCTTTTACCCTCCCTTCTTTTTCTGACTCTTTTCCATTTTGTGTAACACCTGTTTGTTTTCCCCTGTCCGTCTGAAAACGAGCCACGATGTTTAACTGTTGATAAATTGGTTTTCATTTTATGTTTGGGTGGGGCTAGGGGGTGGGCTATAAAGGTCTTTCTGCTGCAGTGGCACTCTTCAGACAAGCTAATTGGCAATTTGGCGTTCCGGTTAATATCCCCCCTTTATCGCCCGTTGGCGGGCGTGGACGGGCGCGGGGCGTCGTCCGGGGGCGATATTGCGGCCGTAAATTAACAGCAGGGCTCGTCCAATTCAATTACGCTCGTTTTAGATGAAACGAGACGCCAAGAAGAGGTTTATGGGCGAAACATTTCGCCATTTACATGGCGGGCCGAGGATCGACGCCTCCAATTTTTCTCCCCCGTTTGGCGTCCAGAGAGACTCGGGGCGTAAAAATGAAATGCGGCTCTAATACTCTTTCACCGGTTGTGAGTTCTCCAGGGAAACCCCCACCCCCCTTGTCTTCCCCAAACCACAACAACAAGTTGGACCAGGGTCTCCTTCTTCCTAACTGAGTCCATGTAACCTCTCCACAGGCCTGCACAAATTTCAATGACAGCGGAGCCTGCGTGACCCAGTGCCCCCAGCCCTTCGTCTACAACCCCACATCTTTCCAGCTGGAGCACAACCCAAGAGCCAAGTACACCTACGGGGCCTTCTGCGTCAAGAAATGCCCCCGTAAGTCTGAGAGAGAGAGCGCAGCTTTTTCTACTATCGATTCATTTTTTTTTAAGATGATTTTTTTTGGAGCTCACCGTGGCTCAAAACTGATCTTTTATTGTGATTTTTTTCGCCGGTTTAGGCATTTATCCTATGATCCACCCCGAAACGAGACTCCAGACGATCATTTTAAGCCAAAGACAAATGGCTGAAACGCTACCCAAAAGCCTGTATCTGGATCTGTGGGTTTTGCTTTGCCATCTGCTCCGGCCTCGGGCGAGAGAAAAAAGTCAATCTTGGCTTTTTTTTTTCTTTCACGGTCTCGGAGTCAGAGCGCGGCTGTAACTCACCAAACACGCATTTAAAAATCAACAGATTGCATATTCAAGACCCAGTGATTATCAAATGAGCACGGGGCTGCTACACGGCTCTGGCGCGAATGTGATTGAAACGTTTTAATCTCTGGGAAAAAAACTGGGAAAAGGTGCGCTTGTCTGTGAATCCGCTGAGGGGCCTCCTCACTGCTTTGTCGTTTTTCAGACAACTTCGTGGTGGACCACAGCTCCTGCGTCCGAGCGTGCCCAAGCAACAAGATGGAGGTGGAGGAGAACCGGATCAAAATGTGCATCCCGTGTACCGACATCTGCCCAAAAGGTAAAGCGTTTACCTCTGGTTCTGCTCGAGGTTTCTGCCTGTTAAAAGGAAGTTTTGCCTTGCCTGTGTCGCCTAGTGCTTGCTCATGGTGGGAATTGTTGGGTTTCTGTAATTAACTTCAGAGTATGGTCTGACCTGCTCTGTTTGGAAAGCGCTGTGAGACAACTGTTGTTGTGATGTGGCGCTATATAAATAAAATTGAATTGAATTGAATTTAATTGAGCACGTACTAGGACGAGGACACCGCCTTATTCTGTGTCGTTTGTCATGTCTTTTGGGGATATTATTGCCAGGTTCCATAAAAACTGAAGTCAACTACCTCTCTGCTTTCTCCCCTTTTTCTCGACTCTATATTTCCTGAATATGGAGGAGCTTAAGCAGCTATAACGTTTTAATCTGATTGCCTTATGCTAACAGCGGTGATATCGAATGAGCAATAACCCAGAGGAATTACTTGAAGAGCTTAAGGGAAAACCGCAATTTGCTTTCGCGTGGGCAGATTCACCTCATAATTATAATGTTGTCCAAATATACTCGCGCATGCTTACCAACAACATCTTTGCATTCAAAGTTAGCTTTGAAAAGTTAGCCTTTAGCGACAGAGCAAGGCCTCTCTCTCCTCTTCCTTATGTCCTGAAATCAATAAACCATAGCAGGTTTTTTCCCCCCCCACCCTCTCTGGGGCTTATTTTGACCACAATGTACACATGAATGACATTCAAAACAAAACAATTCCAGAATAAGACTTTGGCTGACACACCTAGTTTTTTTTTTTTTTCAAATAGGACCTGGTCTGTATTAATGTAGTCACAAGATGATAATTGTGATATAAATAGTTTCATAACAAGAATCTACATTTGCCTGCTCGGTAATTACAATTTGTTTGGCATCAAACGCTTCAAACTGTCTAATGTGGAATTAAACGGCATTAGTTCGATGCAAAAGATCAGACCCCTTCATCACACCGTCCCCACAAAGGCAAATTGAGCTGCCCTTTCTCTCTGGAAGGATGGCAATAATGTTTTCCTACCGGCTCCGCATACGGGGCCGTGGCCTCCATCGATTGGCCAATCTCTCGATCACGTCGTCACAACGCGGGGGAGGGGTTAATGAGGGACAGCCCAAGGAACTGTGGGAAATGATAACAAATTAACATTTCAGATGTGGAATTGGCTGGTATAAATCACCATCAGAAACTGGTTACGCCACTTAACGCCGGCCTTATTCATCATCCCCTCCGCCTCTGTCAGAAATACTTGGCTCACACTGGATGGGCAAGTGTAATTAATGCAGATGTAATGAATTCATTATAAAGAGGAATTGGCTGTAGATTGGCCCCCTGCTTTCATCGAAGGAATTCTTTTGCACGGAGAAGGGCCACGGCCCAAAAGCTGATTATATTTTTATACAAGGCCGGAAAATATGATGTATAGTCATGACAAATGGCTTCTGGTAGAGCCTTATTGTGACGCCTTTGGTAATCATGGTGACTTTAACATTAAAACTCATCTGGAATTTCACGCTTGTGTGTGTTTCTTTGGTTTGTTTTCTCGTGTTTTTCTTTGCTCCTCAGTTTGCGACGGCATCGGGACGGGCAGCCTGCAGACGGCCCAGACCGTGGACGCCAGCAACATTGATAAATTTGTAAACTGCACCAAAATCAACGGCAATCTAATCTTCCTTATAACCGGCATTAAAGGGTAAATGGTTCAAGTTTTTTCTCCCAACCTTCACCGACTTCTTGCCGAGGGTTTAACGTCTACAAATGCCTTCCGCTCCAATTTCGTTCTAAACAAGTCGTAACGCCACAATAGAAAAAATATTTTGTCTTCATTGTAAAATATCTGCAACCGATGAAAAACCTTTCGCCGCCACAAACTATCGTGACTCCTTTCCTCTCATTTGCGAGAGATGCGATTTCAGTCGGGCTCCAAAAACTCCATTGTTAAATCTTTTAAAGATTTGTACGTTTTTTATCTTCTTTGTTAAATATCTAAATTGCTTTTTGTGTTAATTCAATGCCTGTTTTGTTTTGTTTTTTGGGTAAACATTTAACACTATATAAACACACATAGTCCATGGATATATATACAGAATCTTAGTTAACTCTAACTCTTCGGTGACACTGTTACTTATCCAGGTCTAAGCTAACAGGTCTAAGCTTACAGGTCTAAGCTAACAAGTTTTAGCTAACAGGTCTAAGCTTACAGGTCTAAGCTTACAGGTGTAAGCTAACAGGTCTAAGCTAACAGGTCTAAGCTTACAGGTCTAAGCTAACAGGTCTAAGCTAACCCATTTTCTATTGTAATCGAGCTTTGGAAGGTCATTGATGGCTATATTTATTGAGAGGAGAAATGCGCAAAAAGCTCTCATGATTGAATGTGTTTATGCTGGCTGGTGAATAAAACTCACTGAAGAGCTTTATTCAGGCAAAAACATTCACCTAGCAATATGTAAACACCGTGCCTGTTTGTTTCTTCTCCTCAGGGACATGTATCATGGAATTGGACCTTTGGACCCAGAGCGTCTGAATGTTTTCCGCACCGTGAAAGAAATCACAGGTATAACGCGCCTTACTGGAGGAGCCCCGGAGACACAAACAGAAACAAATCGTGGCTACAGAGGTTCTAGAATAAAAGCTTTCCGGACGAAATCTGATCCCTGTCTGAACTCCAAAAGGTTCTCCGGTGGATACCGCCGGTTTAATGCGTCCGTGAAAAGTTCTGCATTCTTTCAGTGAAGGCTGCTGTGTGTGTGCATGTATATTTATTCATTTGCTATTAGAGGCCTTAAGGGATGAGCTATACCTCGCATACAAAACCCTTTTGTCATATTAAACCGCGACTTGCAGTTGAGCCAAACGGCTAATGGAGTGAAACTGCATTTTCATAATGAAAACCTAAGCAATAGGGAAGAGCAATGGCCGTCATATCCCAGCCATTTCCTGTTTCTAGCCCCTTTTAATGTCGTTTCCACGGATGTTGATTTGATACAATCCGTCACCGGTGGCTAATGCAGCTGGACAAATTGCTCAGAATATGAAATCCATTCCTTTAATTAGTGCGTGTTGTCTCCCCCCTGAACATTTCCTATAAAGGATGAACTCCTTCCTGAACTCTGGTGAGGCTTTGCGACACCAAGGACCAATAAAGAACTCTCATCCTCTGCCCTCGAATGCCTGTATTATCATTTTCTGAGTTTCCTCTTTCCCTTTCTTTGCTTCGTATTAGTTTTTATTTATCACCTATCCCGTGAGTTTTCATGAAATGCTAAAGCTCTTCGCCTGATGTGTCTTTAGGTTTCCTTAACATCCAGTCTTGGCCTGAAAACATGACAGATCTGGGTGTTTTTTCCAACCTGGCGACCATCGGAGGCAGGTCTCTCTACAGGTATGAGCGAATACAAACGTGATGAACGAGATAAGTGGCGACAGTGGCATCAATCGCCGCTCTTTCGCGAAGGGGAGTGACAGCCGTGGTCCGCGTTAGCTTATCAAAGCCTGTATCCAGACGATTAGCATGTTAACGTACAACCAGCGGTCTTTGTTCGCTCAGAGGCATCTTTTTTCTTCCCAAGTCCACAAATGCTTCTTTAAACACAGCTGACAGCCGACTTTCATTAGTTTTCTTCATCTTTTTTTATATATTTGGTTTATTTTTTGCTATACCTGTTGCTTCCTGGTACTCTTCTGGTATCTTCAGCTCCCCGGCTATTTAGTTGATCTGGTATCACAAAAAACTCCCACATGCTCTGTCAGTCTCTTCTTTTTTAATCTGAAATGTTTTCACTATTATCACCCATCGCTGCCCTCTCTGTCTTTTTCAGAATATTTTTTTCCTCTTTTCAGCAGCTTTATGGACAATTTTGACGTTCCGTCAGTACTATGTGCAAACATAAAATAAAAATCCCGCATATTTGAATCTCCTCATGGTTGCATCTACTTTGGTTCTCGCCTCGCAGCGGGAGCGGCATTTCCCTGCTGATCCTTAAGCAGCGCTGGATCTCCTCCCTCCAGTTCCAGGCGCTGGACGAGATCAGCGCCGGCAACGTCTACATCTTCAACAACAGCCGCCTCTGCTTCTACAACACCGTCAACTGGACCTCGCTGTTCAGGACCCCGAGCCAGAAGGTCCTCATCCGGAACAACCGAGAGCCAAAGGAGTGCAGTGAGTACCGCTAGTTTGTCGGTTCCAACTTTTGGTTTTGGATTTGAGCGTAGGCAATCTTGAAACATACTAGGAGGTTAAGAATATGAATCCTGCCTGATTTTTGGAATAACGCAAACCCGTATTCGGTCATATCAGGAGATATGCAAATTGGCCTCCCCATACTTCAGCGGTTATGTTCAGACTGCATGTCAAATGTGGCCCAAATCCGATTTTTATTTTATATTTTTTCTTATATGCAAGTTAACATGCAGCATCTAAACTTACCTCCACAAACGTATCAGTTGGTATGCGATGTCATATTGTCTTTTACAAGAGACGTATAGTTTGATAGCGACTGTGTTGATGTTATATGGAAAAAAGAAAAAAAAAAAGCTGAACAAAAATGGATTGGAGCAATAATACCTGGGTGTGAGTGAAGTTGGTAAATTTCCATGAATCCACCGACTTTTCCAACATGCCGAACCCCCCTAAAAACCCTTTTTTTCTTCTCTTCTTATGTACGTGGATCTTAATTGCGAACTTCGATTCCCCTCGTGTCTCCAAATCCAGTCCTGCCCCGGCCGTGCACCGCCGTGCCCGTTTCCAAGGCAACAGTATCGCGGGTGTCACGGCCCTGAAAGATCTTATTCTGCTCCCGTGGCACGCGTGGGGGCCGGGCAGCAGATGGAGCCGATTCCATGTTCGATATTTTGTTACACGTGTCGTTCTCCGGTTGATATCGTTAGACCGGTCAATGAGTTAGACCGGTCACACACGTGTGTGTGTGTTTGAGATCGATCGACGGCACCTTTACACGGGGCCTCTTCATTAGACGCGGCCCGCTGCCCGCCATTGGCCGCTCCGCTGTTGACAGAGCGTCCGAGTGTCACTCACTCTGGACGGAGGGGAAGGCCGGTCTGATGAGGGGCATCGATTGTTGCGGTAGACTTGCGCGGAGGCGGGCGTTGGGGTGAAATAAGGGGTTCTGAGTTCTGGTCGGGGCGGTCTTTGAAGGCCGAGGTGTGGGGAAACCAATGTTTTTCTGTCACAACCGGGCAGCCTGAAGGCAGAGCAACAAACACACAAACAAAGAAATGTGTTCATGAACATATATAGATATAGATCAGAATCCAGTCCTTGAGGGCCGCTGTCCTGCAGGTTTTAGACTTTTTCCGGCTTCTGCACACCTGATTCTTATTAAATTATTACTATTCATTATTGATGAGAAATGTAATATTGTATCTACTCTGTAAGTCGCTTTGGATAAAAGCATCTGCCAAATGCATAAACATAAACATAAATTGGATCTCCTCTGGACATTGTTGAGCTTTGCACCTGTCTAATGGCCCTTTGATGTTAATCAGATGTGTTGAAAAAGGGTTACCTCTAAAACCTGCAGGACAGCGGCCCCTCGAGGACTGGAGTTTGACTTCACACCCCTGATATAGATAGAGATATATGTATATATACACCTTGTTTCCCTTTGCAGTTCAGCAGCGGATGGTGTGCGACCGAATGTGTTCGGACGACGGATGCTGGGGCCCGGGGCCCGACCAGTGCCTCTCCTGCAGATACTTCAAACGGGGCCGCACCTGTGTGGAGTCCTGCAACCTCTTTGATGGGTGAGCAGAAGAAACAAGAAACGCTTTGCCTCAGATTCCGAACAAAAAACAAAAAAAAACTTGACAATTACCTAAAAATCAGTTGATTACAGTCTCGGAAAAGCCGCATTTCCACCTCAGCAAACAGCAATTTGCAAACAAGCGGCAGAAGTAAAAAATCAATTTGAATGGCTTTAATGCATGAGAATGAAGTGGAGACATTCTCGAGGGCTCCGGAGGAGGAGAGCCTCTTCGCCGACTGGCACGGATTAAATGAGAAGAACCAATAAGGATTTTTTTAGTGTGAACAGTCAAAAGAAAGATTTTGGCCGCTTGTCGTATCCGTCATCCAAAATCAAATTAGGCACATTGTTGATGAATTCCATTTTAATAACACCCTTCTGGACCGCTCTGAGCTGAAGAGCGTGTGACAAAAAAACCTCTTTGTGAGTGTCTACTGGTTTTTAGTGTCATTATTTTATTTTCATTTTCTTTTAAATTCCCTGACTGACAAGCAATATAAGCAAGAGATGCAGCCATTTTTTAAATTTTTTTTTACCTACCTACTTAACAAATTAATTATTTTTTTATTTTTATTTTTTATCCATTTAAAACTCAACGTCCATTTAAAACTGAACATGCTTGGTATTTATCTGCTGTTTTGGTCTTGATAATAGCTTATATTCATGCTACATTCATGTTTTTTTAAATAGTCTCCGAACAGTTATTGGCTTCCACAGAAATTCCAGCTGTTTCTACAGACTTGCTTTGGATGATTCTTTGTAATGGCGTCTTATCAGCCATTCTTCCCAGTAAGCCTTCTACCATCAGTTCCGTCCGCTTTTTCTCATTCAGGAGACTTTCTCAAACTCTGATCTAGAGGAATTCATCTCAGCCCGACGATCAGAGGTGGTCCGCCCTCTGTCACCGGCACTTAAAATCTTGGAAGATCGAACTTCTGCCTCAGTTAACTTTAGTTCCTTGCCTCTTTCTTGGCCCATTTAGACGAGAGAAAAAAAACCTCTCCCTGCAGCAGACACTCTGCAGCATGCTGACCACTGACTACTGACCACTCTTACCTTTGGTCCCAGAGATGAAGAGCTTTAATTCAGACCCTAAAATTTGGTCTGAGCTCAGTTTCTTTGTTTAAAAAAAAACAGGATTTAAAGCCTAGTTCCTCCGTTTTTATCATCCAAATTTGTGACTGCAAAGTCCGAAATGCACACATTCAAGAACTCCATGAATACATATTTACACAGATACATATATATATATATATATATATGCAGGCAACGATGTCAGGCTTGCCGTGCGCCTCCCCCCCCCCCCCCCCCCCCCCCTCCCCGGAGGAGACCGGCGCATACAAATGTGCGCGAGAGCGAGGTGGTGTTTTGACGTGCTGCTGGTCATTCCCGGGGCCGCTTGTGGGAGGGAGGCTTTGAAGCTGCCTGGGAAAAAACAGCTCATAGCGAGGGGCTTTGAAAAAGATGTGCTGGAGGAGCGTGGCGGAGAGCCTTCTGAAGAACCCTCGTCTCCTCTACTGTACGTACAGTCTCAGCCTCTGTTAGGAATATTCAACAGGCCCGCTTGTTGCTTTGTGTCATTTCCCATAAGCTGAGGGGTTGGGCTGGTGTCCGGGGTCACCACCCGCCTGGCTGGTAGATGAAGAGGAGCTTGTTTAGCCGGAGAAGCATCCTGTCTGGATAGTCAACCGACAACTGTTTGTTGGTCAGATTGCACTATAATGTTTGCTTGCTTGCTAAGGAACCAAAATAAGAACCAAAATCTCAAAACAGCCAGAAAAAAGAGGACAAAAGATACTTCAGACTGAGGTTTTTGAAAGCCTTCCACTGAATGATAAGCTCAAATAAACATGAAATCCTCGGTTAGTTTGGCAGTATCTTCCCTTTACAACTTATATTAAAGATTCAATGCCTTTAAACTGGGTCTCCTTTTATCCTTGACACAAAGAAACGCATTAGTTTTAATGAATTAGTCCATCACAGCCTGATTTCTCAGTATGGTTCCTTCTAAACTAATATCAATACAACAAAGAAAAAAGAAAGGAAGGCCTTCTGAGTCCAGTCGGTTATTAGCGATTGTGAAAGAGGCTTTTTGTCGGTAGGGTAATTTGACCAGATACACGCAGTCGATTGTAGACATCGGCTACATCTACCTAGCAATGGACCCCTTTGCTATTGACTATTTAAGCCTGACTTGAACTGAAATTTAGCTGCCATCATTTTAAACAAAAATAAAAAGAAAATGTTAAGAAAATGTTCTTAAAAAGACATTATCATATTCCTATTAGCATCCAAGCACCACTAGAGACTTAAAGCTAGTTTAGATAAATGAGTCATTATCCTCAGAATATAATGTAAACTCAACATTAGCATTGAGCTGTCAGGTTTCCACATCACTATTTGCCAATGCATCGCACAGAGACAACTAACTGACAAATATCTGAGTAGCCAAGAAGTTGACTCTATGCTTGTTAGAATTTCCCCTTCTAAAACCATTGCAATATGATACTCTACTAACATCATATGAAACTGATATTCCCCAAAAACTTTAAACACACAAATATACTCAAAGATGCCATAGAGACAGAAATGGAACCACATGCCAAACACGTGAGTATAGATAAAACCCAAATTCCCAATAAAGCTGCCCACATTTGTATATTTTTCAATTTCCTCCGCTGTTTGACGGGAGGGCAGTTTAGAGCCTGGAGCCGCGAATCGTCCCCTCACGGATTGACTCGTAATCAACTGCGGTGATAATCTAAAGCCCCACCTTACAATCAGTTTAAGGGCTTGCTCTTCTCTGAGCACGGGTTTCTTTTTTCCAACACAGAAAAATATTTGCATAACGCCTCACTTTGTTCCGACGCTGCGGGAGCCCATCCCTCCAAAGAATTTGGAGTGAGCTCATTAAAAATGTTTTCTGGCTCGTGTTTTTTTTTTTTTTAAACCTTAAGATTCCGCAACTCGCCCCTTGTTCTACGTCTCCATCCTTAATGAGGAACAGCCCTAATTCCCTCCAGTTTAGAAAGATTGTTGAATAAAACAAAGGGAGAGCAAAGGCGTGTGGAGAAAAAGGGGAAAACGGAGAAGAAGAAGAAAAAAAACAGAGAGAGACGGCGTCCGCTGGGGTCGGAACGGAAGAGGGAGGAAGTGAGTCAGAGAAGCGTTGAAAGCGGTTAATTAAAAAATAGTTGCTCTGGCGGGCTGACCGCAATGGGTTTTTTTAGGTCTGAATAGTGGGCCCCGGTCCGGTTTAAATTCCTGCTAAAACAGGGCTAATCCCCCCATCAGGCCTTCCCTAGACGGGGCTATGGTGCACATCCCCGGCCGTGAAGGAGGCCAATCAGGAGGAACGGCTTTGGCAGAATGGAAATTACCCTGGAGACCAGGGCTGCAGAGGTCTTTGTCTCCTGCCCATTCTCCTCCATGTTTTTTTTAATTTTTTTTTTATTATTTTTTTTTTTATACCTCAGCCAGCCAACAAAGGAGATCTCTCTCCAATGCTCGGGCTTCCATAAGAGAAATCTCATTTATTTTGGAGCAAGGAACAGAAAGATTGGGCGTGAGATGTAATGGAGCTCTCCATTCAGTCTTTCATAAACATTTTTTTTTTTTTTTTTTTTTTTATATGATCCCACAATTTGTACATCTGGGTGTTTTTTCCATGTTTTCGGGCAAAACGCTCTGATAAGAATTAGCCAAGAAGAAATGTTCAAAGGGGAGAAAAAAAGTGCACTGGCATCAAGGCTCAGAAAAGAAAAAAAAAAAAGAAAAAAAAAGGGAAAGCTGGGGTTTTATCCTCGCTTTTATCCCCCCCCTTTAATGTGACGCCGTTGAACTCTGAAGTGTCAGAACGCCTCTTTTCTTTCTTTGTAGCTTTTAGAACTACTAAAGCTAAAAGATTTCCATCTAATATTCACCGCATGAAATTTCTTAAAACGTGCTAACCCCCGGGAGATGTTAAGTTCTCGGTGTCAGATCGGCAATCTGTTGACTCTTATATTCCGCCGCCTCAGACGCCAGCGCAAGCGCAAACCTCACGGCATCCTTCCCGATAATTCCCGCCGTCTGAGAAAGGGCCGTTTGTCTGTCTTTTGGGGGGGGGGACGTCTGTCCTCCGCGTCGGCCGATTGATCCCGCTGATGTGAGAGGTGCTTTTGATCGTCGGCGGTCGCAATCGACCCGGTTTCGGCTGGGCTCAGACGCCCCCCCCTCCGCTTCAGAAGAGGCGAAGATAATTCACCGATTCGATTTCGAAAAAAAGAAAGGAAACGTATGGATCTGGAGCCTGAACGTTCTCACGAGCACACAGCTGCGGACACAGAAACGGTTCAACCAGAGGGCCCGAGGCAGTACAAAGCTCCCGCCACTCCCACTGTAATTGCAGCGTACATACACAATATTGAAGTCTCTATTGTCTTTTTCTTTTCATGTTGCACCGGAAGAAAAAATAAGCCAAAACAGAACATCTTTTGACTACCTTTGATAAGAAGATGAAAAGTAAACATGTTCGTCTTTCATTGTTTTTTTTTATTTTTAACTCATTGACTGCCAGCCATTTTCAGAACAGAGAGTCCCATACTGCCAGTTTTTTTAGCATTTTGACTGATTTTTCAAGAGCCACAGAATGGTTTGTGCTATGACTATGTAAACACCGAACACACCAAGATGAAGAGTAGACTCTCTTCTTTCATCAGGAAAAAAAAATTGTTTCTACCTTATTCCGTTCTTCCTCGACTTGCGTCTCACCGGCGACATGTTTTCTCAGAGTGAACCGTTATGTTTTTCATATTTGCCTACAATCTATGCTCATCTCCCATCAAAAGTGGCACTGCCACCTAGAGAGTCAATTTGTTAGTACATACTCTGTCTAGAAGCCGATATTTACGGACAAGCTTTAGCAGATCGTCCCCCAAGCCACTTGCGTTGAAAAACATAAAAGACGTCTATAGACGTCTTTGGCAGTCAACGGTTGTATTTGAATTGACATCTATAGACGTCTTTGGCAGCCAATGAGTTAAAAAAAGAAAGGTAAATGACCTTGAACTTTTGCCCGATCCGAAGCAAATTTCCGTCCCCTTCCACGTCCCCCTTTCTGTTTGCGGCCGGTCGTTAAAAAGCATTTGTACGCTTCGCGCAATATAGCGTCCATCAATATTTCACCGTAGTTCTCAAATCTACAATCCCCGCTACCTTTGTTCTGACTTTCCTTCTCTCCGACAGGGAAGTCCGGGAATTTGCCAATGGATCCGTGTGCCTGGAATGTGACAGCCAGTGTGAGAAGATGGACGGAAACAGCTTGACGTGTCTCGGCCCGGTAAGGCCCTCCCACAAAAAAAAAATAAGACAGAGAGAGACCCAGAATCCTGGCTTTTTTATTTTATTTTATTTTTCAGTTTTAAAGCTCCTTCCATTTCAGGAATGTACTTTTAGATTAAGGCGCACCTCTCATTCTTTTCTGTGCGAGATAGTCTCGTATCTCCGGCGTGCTGAAGTGGACCTATTTTGTTGGGAGTCTGTCCGTATTGCACGGAGGGTTTCGGCAGATATAAGCCGTGTTTGGAAAGGTGAGCGGTAGGTTAATGGGAGGAATGATAAACTACTGCGGCTGCTTCAGGAGGCATGCTTTTGGCAAATGCGTCTATACGCGCTCAAAAAGCAGAATGAGATTAGGTTCTGACCTTCCGGGGAAGTCGCTCTTCGAGGGGCACGGAGCGCGTCTCGGCTTCCAACTCGCGGGCCGGCGGAAAATCGCCTCTCTTTCTCTTTCAAAAATGAACTAATCTGTTTCCTCAAGGCTTATTTGCTTTATTTATACGCGCGAAGATTGCAGACCGGAGGACGCCCCGAAAGGTGGCCCGACGGAACCTCAAGGGTGTCTGGATAGTAAAGGCGATAAGAAATTTTAGCCTCGGCCATAAAAATAAAAATGCCTTTTGGATCAGTGGTTATGTGACCTCTTCAGGCATCTGTGTGTTCTCAACCAGCAACGGGGGTCTTTGCAGCCAGCGAAATGATAGAAAAACAACTACTGGAACTAATGGAAAAGACCCCCAAACTTGGATCTATTGGCTCAAAGTTAGCTTACCACCAGTACAAATGTGCCCGACCGATTTTGTGATGGGAATAAGTTGAACATACTAATTACAAGTTGCTACCTGTTATTTCAGGATATGACCGTCTACTCAGAATGCCAGTTGCCCACTTAACGTTAAAATGGTACATTCTTTGGGTGATTCAGACCACAAGTTTTACAGATGTGGAGTGCCGTGTGATCCACCCGGCAAGGACAGCCAATTGTAGAAATCAAGGAAAACGGCTTCGACATATGAATACATTTACAAATTTGCCGCTTTTTCCCTATGCCGCTTGATTTTTGTAGAAAATCTGCAACCTTAGCGTATATTGAGTGCAGGTAAGACGCTAATTAGGTGAGATGTGCGGGAATGGTCGATTAGAGAGGCACACTCTGAAGCCCTCTGTAGAAACTAGACGAGGTTAAAGGGCGCATTGTGAATTTATCACGTCGTCCTATCCCACCGTTTTTTACAAAAGACCCAGATTCCCGTTATTGCCAGAACAGCAGGTGAGATATTTCCAGAGTGATATGTGGATTTCAAAGCTAAATTTGACTGAGATCGCTCATTGTTTGTGTTCAACTGTCATAGATGATTCAAGTGCAATCCGAAATCACTCATATACTATACATGGAAGTTCTTGCAAATAGCTTTATCTGCATTTCTGGATTGGTTTGTGGTAGGTATTCGGTCAACTGAGTTTATTGACATTACACGGTCTTATAAATTATGTAATTTGTAGGTAAAGCGCTGATTAGTAAAACATTTGCTGAGCAGGGGGGGCTATATAAGGATTAAAAACTAAAAAGCAAGGTTAAAAGATAAATAAAATAGCCATACTAGAGCAGTCATAATTATTTACTACGGTTCAATTTGATATTAAAGGAAGTGTTTGCGTTTGACGATTGCAAAGCCAAAGTGTTTTCCTGTCTAAAACCTGCATTTTGTTAGCTTTAGCTTTAGCTCTACCAGCAGTTTCAAGCCTCTGACTGCATTGCTAGCACCATTTGCTCCCCCGTTGGTTTCCCCCAGCCTTCCACCACCAGTAGCTTCTCCCATCTGTTGCTCACACCAGCAGCAGGTCTCAGCTATGGCATGCCGTGCTAGCACCAGCTGCGTAAATCAAAGCAAATGCAAAAGCAAACATACTTTTGTTGTATCTTTGACACCTGGATTGTATTTTCAAAGTTTTTAGATATGATATTTGCGCCATAGAAAAAGAATACAAACTGAATAGGCCTGAATATTTAGTCACAAAATCAATGGAATCGGTCACAACGGATTACTCGTCTTCTTTGCTGATACATTCGCCAGTCGAGAAGCCTCTGTTATGTTTACAGGTGCAAATAACTGGCATGTCCAGAGTCTGTGAAAGCTGTGACTGAGAACATCTAAGGCACGGTGACGATAGAGATAAGGGAAACTAGCTTAAATCCCGGGTCGAGAATGAACAGGAAAGAGAAGTGACTTGTAGAACTACTGGTACTTACAGTTAGCTGTTGAAAGAAGAGGTGAGCCTTCACAGTGGAAAACACTCTGGGGCGTGTGTGTGTGTGTGTGTGTGTGTGTATATATGTGAAATACATATGTATATATACCTACATACATAATGGAATATGAAGAGAGAGCATATCCTTGATGATACATGCAAAGCTTCTGCCTTTTGAGATGTCGGTCGCAGCTCGCCTGCAGTAAATAACACCGCAGTCAATCATCCACAAACAAATACACACGCACGGAGCCTGGGCAGACATACCCGAACGCGTTTGCACATCTGTATGCATCTGCACCGGCATTCGCCCGAACGCGACGACACGCAAAAGGGAGCCGAATGTTTATTAATGCCTGCGTGCGCAGGAACCCGCGGAAGGCTGTCCGTCAGGTCACGGCGGTCGTCATTAGCAACGGAGCGTGATGGCGAGAATCCCAGCAACAACAACACGCACACACACACACACACACACACACGCACAGATACACGCTGGTATCTCTGCAGGATTTTAAGTTCCCCCCTTTTTTGTCGACACCTTCCCGGCCTCACACACACATAAACACACAAAGAGCCCAGTCGGTTTGTCTCTCTTTCGTTCTCCACTCGCGCCCCTCTGCCCCTCTCACTAATTCATCAACCCGGCCCCCCCCCCAGCCGGTGCTCACTAACAGCTCGCCTTCCCCGCCAATCGCGCTCGCTCTGCCGTAGTTTGACACGACCTGATTTCTTTTTGCATTTTGGCAGTTTTACCAACGGGATGGGGGGGCTGGGGTGGGGGCTGGAGGGGGGCTGGGGTTTGGGTCACGGAGGAATACACTCAGGGCAATTTTACCCGACGTTTTTATAAACGAGTGATTGGAATTCATGCAGGTCCCGCCAGCTAAATTAGCCAAAATGGAAAGGTGAGCAAATTGACACCGTATGCCAGGTTCGGATGATCTTTTCTTCGCTCGTGTTTGCTCCACTCATACATTTTCTTCACCTTTTTTATCCCATTCCGTTTTCAGAAACTTGATTTTTTTTAAAAATAAATTTCCCCCCTGGTCTTCTCCCCTCGTCCTCCCTCCCTTTTTTTTCCCCATTTCAGGGTCCCGACCAATGCGTCAAATGCCTCTACTTCAAAGACGGACCCAACTGCGTGGAGAAGTGTCCCGACGGGTTGCAGGGCGCCAACAGCTTCATCTTCAAATACGCCAAGGCCAACAACGAGTGCCACCCCTGCCACGCCAACTGCACCCAGGGGTAAGCGAAGGGGGGGTAGAATGTTCCACGCTTTCCCCCGACTTTCCACGATTTACCGCACAACTGAATTTGGAGGCAAACGTACCGGCCGTAAAGGTGCATAACAGATCCACGAACAGGTGGTGACAAACAATGGGAGGAGGAGAGATACGGGGGCCAGCGGTGGAAAACAATGAGAAGAGGGAGAGGGAGAGCAGGCTCATGCTAAAGGGGGAAGATGGACGAATTGTTTAGGAGCAAGACCCTGTCTTTAGTGGAAAACGCTAAAATAAGCAGAAAAACGGCCCCGAAAGAATAGGCAGACGAAAGAAATACGGAAGGAAGGATAAACCAATAAATCACTGGCTTTAACTAAAGTTTTGGTCACTCTGAGAATGAGAGCAAGTTGTTTTATCTATGACTCTGCTAGCAAAAAATGCAGCAACATTTTTTAGTGCTGTGTTGGTGTATTGTGTTTGGGGGGAGAAAAAAAACATCTTTTCCTGGTCTTTCATTTTCTTGTCTCATATCTGACAAGTCTCCGTTGCTGTTGTTTTTCTGATTTTTGTGACAAGCACACGTAGCCGCCATATTGGTATAGATTCCCCAAGGTTACGGTACGAATTAGCTCAATTGCTAGAAACTGTCCAGCTGTCCGTCTTGCTTCTCACCAAACAGGCACTCTTTTTTTTTTTTTTTTTAAAAGCACACAAGTGGACGGTGGACACAGCAGGGCTCGTGACATGATTAGAGGTGAAAAAGCAGCGTAATTATATCCCACATCACAGCAGCGCACTTTAATTTTATTGCACTTAGCCGCGCGGCGCTAAGGACTAACATCAAGACTAAATCCGAGGCCGAGCGTTTGATTATTATAAGTCAAAGATCGCTGTAAAGACTTGAAAGGCGTTTCTGTCTCCCTGAGGGTGCTTATTACTTTGTCTTTGCTGACAGAGACGCCTTTTTCTTTTTAGTGAAGCGGGAACGGTATGAAGCCGTACAGACACCGTGTTTTTTTTTTCCTCCTGCTAATTATTGCTAATTAGCCATTCGATGCGCCCCTCGATTGACAACTGGAGCAGCCGCAGTTGTCACCAAAATTCATTCCAAAGTGGCCCCCGCGCCTTTAATTTCCAGTGTAGGTTGTTGTTATTCTTTGTAGCTTGCACACACACAAAGACCCATTTTCGGGGATTGGTCTCTGACATGCTCCCTAATGTTTAAAGTCCTGGATTAAACATTAGAAATAGTGAAAAAGGCGCCCTAATCATTTGATTTTAATCAACAATGCACCTTTATTGATGGATGTGTTGATAGCAAAAGGGTTTTTTTTTTTTCAGACTTTAAGGGAATAAAGCAGAACCACAGCTGAAATCAGTGAAAGCCTGGAGTTCTACTTTTACAACCCAAATGTGGATTTCATTAACATTTTAATAGCCCCACAGTAATTGATAAAGGTTATAATAAAAACATAAAAGGAAATCAATGTTTCGGCCTAGAAAGCAGCGCTGACATGGTGTAAAACGGTAGCTAAACGCTACAATTACCATTCATTTGGAAAATTTGCCCCCAGGCTACTTAATCAATGTTTACTCAATAAAAGCTTTTCCTT